TCAAAGTCTGAGAGGGTGAGGCAGATATTCACAGAAAACAGAACAAGAATCGACAACTACTCTGCTCTCTGCTCACTCCTTTCCTGTAAAATACAGGTCCAGCCCACACATATGCTCCATCAAGGATGGTGCTACAGGCCGCAAGGCATTGCACCTAGAACTACAATAAACATGTTAATGTTAATCTAACAGCTCCGGCGATCCACGAGTAGCACCCCCCCCAATTTTGCATTTTGAAATGCTCCCGATTTCTGAGGTCTAAAGGTTGGCAAGTCTCGACAACTTGATTGAGTCCACCTGTGCCCAAAAGCATGCACCTGTGAACAGGAAGTCCCCACAATCCACGCTGCATGTCAGGAATTAGTTTGGTGTCTTTTTATGTGATATTGCAAGCATTGAAAGACTGAATGCTGTTATCCTCGCCCTTAACAGCACAACAACAAAGGTTAAAATTGTCACATTTATGACAGAAAAGGGAACAAATGGTACAAAAAGGGAAACAGTCTGAATACTTTCTGCAGCCTCTGAGCAAAAACAAACATCTTGACAGACTCTGATTGTGTATTTTGATTTTAAATGTTTAATGCAGGGATTAATATTCAGCCTGCGGTTTAACAAACCGCTGCTCGTGTAACTCTCAAAGAGCTGACAGGTTCGTTTGTGTCCAACACCGGCCTGCTTCCTAATTAAATGTAGTAATATGTAGGCTACTTCATAATTACTGCTGAGGAAATATTTGTTTGGGGGGAAACAATGCTTGGCGCCGTACAGAGAGAGCCGGCTGTAATCATTCTCCTCACTCCCCTAACCCACGAGTTAAACGCCTGACAAAAGCCCGTGTAATTGCTCTCCTTTCACTTCCATCCCTCCTGGTTCTTCATTGAAAGCTTAACAATGCGTCTAATCATCTAACGGAGAGGAAGTGACTGTACATCACTGGAGATGTGTGTTTCCCAGAGGGCCTGCAGTGTGTAGTAGGACGCTCTTATTGTGAAACTCTGAGATAATCCTGTGTCTATCTACTGTGTGTTGATGAATGTGTTTTTCATTGTAATTAAAAAACAAAGAGTTGTTTTACGATAAGCTGTCACTCAGACTCTTCTGTGTGATTTCCAAGCTGTGGATCCATATTTAAGTTGTGTTCTTATGTGCGTGTGATTCATTTATCTCCATAGAAGTGGAGGCAGTGGCAGAGGCAGTAATGGATATGCAGACTTTTCTGCTTGAAAACGAGACAAATGTGGAACGTAAAGGGACAATTTAGTTTGGATCACGAGTGTGTGCTGTTCCCCGGCATCTGTACAATTATGTGTGTGTGTGTGTGTGTGTGTGTGTGTGTGTGTGTGTGTGTGTGTGTGTGTGTGTGTGTGTGTGTGTGTGTGTGTGTGTGTGTGAGATACTGAAACTGATGTGTGTGACTGTACATGCCTCCCATGTGATATAAATAAAACAATGTGTTAGCCTCTACCTCGTTATTTCCTGTGAAGCGGGGGTGTGACGAGAGAAAAGAGAACCGACTATTTGAAGCACAGAAAATGTATTTTCTAGGAAACAACAAATGTGAAGATGAAGGTTGAGCGCCTCCGGAATAGTTTGACAGATTTTAGAAACTGCTCATTGTCTTTCTTGTTAAGAGTTGTATGAGAATACTCGCCGTGTTTGTACGATGAAGCATTTAGCACTCAGTTAGCTTAGCACAAACACTGTAAATGGGGGGAAACAGCTAGCATGAAGCTAACATGTCATATATTGTTTGTTAAAAAGTGTGTTAAATGTACTTTTTGGGTTTTTTACAGAGGGGTTTGGTGACAGAAGTCTTGTTCATAGGGTCTGTTCAAACCTCTGATTTTATTTATACATTATCTTGAAGAAATATATAAGAAATGTGCGATTTAATCAGGTTAGGCCTTTGACTTTATTGTGCAAATATGTTGCATATGTCTGAAAACACTAATTGTCTTTGCTAAAAATGTGTTTTATAGAAACTATAAAGAAACTAAAGCATCAGTCGGTTATGTAACTCTCAGAAAAGTGAAATAACGGGTACTTACCTTGCACTAAACATTTCTGTTAGTTTAAATAATGTGCTGAAAATGATAGAACATTCAATTTATTACCTTTTTTATCATCAAAAACATTACATATGTACATTTAGTGAAAACTGTAGTCCTACACTCAATGTATTCAAAGTGCTATTAACATAGTAATGTGACAGGAACACAAAACGTGACGGAACAAACAGAAACCCTGTCAAAGCTACAAACAAAGTGAACAATTAACAACAAAAATCTGCAAAAGATGAACACGATCCTCTTGCTCCGGTCTCTGCTGTGACGCTCCACATGTAGATAATATCATTACATTTTACACACATTTATTTACCACGCTTTAGCTAAGACTCAGGACAACGAGGGCAGAAACGTCCGTCTACAGATCTTAAAATGGACTCTGTGACGCAGACACTTTAAAATGGGCACTTTATTTGAGGTGCAAATTAATCTGAAGGTTTAAATCTTTTAAATATATTACACCAAATAAAGTGTCTGACTGCAAAATGAACCTCAACACAGAGTAAGTGCTCGTTTCTCCAGCGTTACGACAACAAACATTAAATAATATTGTTTGACATTTTCCCCCAAATGATTCTCATTAAATCATTTTTAATTATAAAGTTGCTGGAAAGTCTTTGATTTCTTTAACATAACAAGTAATTGACGGGATGATTCTCAGCTTTCTAACAGCTGTGGTTGGGTTTAAGTGTTTCAGATGCTGGGTTTAAAGTATTTAAGAGAAACTTAAGACTTTTTTAAACATGTTTTGAAGGTACAAAGTGGAGCCCAAAGTCTCTTTGCCGTCTGTGTCTGAAGGCACTTCTTACTCGAGGACATTTATCGCCACAGCTCTCATTTACTCACATGCTACAGAAAGAATTTCTGAAATTATTTGACAAGTTTCTGCTGATTTGGGCAATTTAAGTCTTTCTCAATGTTCACTGCTGCGTAAAATAAGATTGATAGCCGAAAAAACACTGGAAAGGGGAAAAGAATCTGCCTTCCAGCAACTGGTGCACGAATTACCATTAAATATATAACTGTGCAAAAACCAAACCATTAAAGCAATATGTTGTTTTAATGTGTTTACAGGTGCAAGTAGGCAGAGCATGTTAACTTTAAGACTAGCTTCTTAACCTTTTTCCAGTCGTTATGCTAAACTAAGCTAACCAGCTGCTGGCTTAAAGTGGTATGGATATTCCTCTGAGATATACTTGATTTTAATTTCTCTTCCTGCATTAGTTTGGAGTAATGATAAGTCCCACTTTTTCTAATACAAAGTGTGTATAACTCTCATCAAGAAGCTATTTTCCCAAATTGTCAAACTCTTCCTTTGATGCCAGTTTTGTGTTTTAACTGAGCACGTGTTTCCTCAGTTAAACTTTAATGCTAATATGTTTTTCTAACTTTAAATGCAAGCAAATCAAAGAATGATGTGTTGCCATGAGTCCCATGATGTACTTTCTCCCTCCTTTAACTAATGAAGCAGTTACTGTAAAGTATGAGAGGAGATATTAAAATCAAATCACTCTGCTACTGTAATGGCGCTGGCAGAGTGGAGTATATCGTGGAGTTGCATTTCTTTTGCTGATGATTAAGCTGATTCATCACTGCCACCAAAGTCAAGCTGTGTCTGTGTAGATTCACATTCAAAAGGGAGCGGAGTACAGTAAGTTAGGGAGGATTATGAGTCCGAAAACTGAGGAGTTTCTGTGTGATTTCAGAACCTTTTTTTTTTGTGTGTACCGCTGTATGGTGTGATTTAAAACAGGGTGTACGGCCGGCTTCAACAGCTTAATGACAACGTAAAACACTTTAAAACAACAGCATATTTGGTGCAATCTTTGAAGCTACTGCTGACACACACACACACACACACACACACACACACACACACACACACACACACACACACACACACACACACACACATACATACATGTTTAAAGGACTTTTCAGGATCCTTCTCATGTGCCACTCGCTCTACAGTTGACTTTTTCACCAGGAAATGATATATTACACATGTCTCTATACATATTTCTACATCCTCTCTACAGTGTGTGTGGNTTAAGTGTCCGGTTTTTGGGGAGCAGTCCTCTGTCATTGAAGGGGCCTCAGGCTGCAACTGGACCCTCGGCCACTAGAGGGCGACGGCGCCTGATCCTGGTTCTGCTCCTGCTCCTCAGACAGGAAGCTGGGGAACGTCTGTGCTCGGGGGATAAAAGTCATTTCCAGGCCACTTCCTGTTGGGGGAAAAAGGAGAGAAAGTGTCAGTGGAAAAATGATCTTTAGCTGAATGAAACATCTCAAATCTGTTGCAGTGAAAAAGACCTTTAAAGGCTTTATTGTCAAATGTTCACAGAGTAGTGTTGGCAACTCCTGTAGCATGCAACATATAAACATACGTAACACTGACTCAAATCAGTGCAAGACAATGGTGCACGTGACACAATGTGCACATAAATGCAGAATTAAGAACAAAGTCCTGTTTCCCTAGACAATATATTTTCTGTTGCTTAGCTACTGTCTATGCAAGATTACAAGAATAAAGCAACAATGATGTTTACAGCACTTTAATGTGGGCGGTTCTGCACAGGAATAAATGCCGTAAGTATGAGAATTGTACAACAGTCAGAGATAGAAAATCCAACCCTTTCATCTCAAGGGAATCAGTTTGTCTCACACTGCTTTCTGCTTCTGCATCTTCACTCAAATTAATTGCACCAATTTGATCTGTATTTCTATTTCTTTACAATGAATTCAACACATATTCCCACAATGATCTTCTGAACCCCTGATATAGACCCGTGGACCTGAGGTTCTTCAAAAAACACCAAAATAGAAACTCTGAGAATAAAAATGGTCTAATAGTTACGCTTTAAATCTCATTGATTAAGACTTTTTGGACTGTCTGCTGTCCCTATACTTTCCCCATCCACGCCTAACTTCTAATTACTTGCACCAATGTTTTGTGTTCTTCTGTATACTGGTGTTTGATGAAGGTGGTCAGACGCCACTCCAAACCCTAAAGTATTGAAATGTGTCCGATAGCGACGCCTCAGATGAATATCTTCCTCTCAGAGTGATGCACAGCGTCTCGTCTCCTTTGTCTGTCTCTCCGCTCTCCCCCTCTCCACCTTAATCTAAATTAATTGCACCAATTTGTTCTGCAGTTCATATTGGTTAACTGCACACAGAGGGAGTAATGGAGGCTGGGGGTGAGGGCATTCATAATAAATGAGGATGCTGTTTGGTGAGGTGGGCTGAGGATAGAGTGTCTGCAGGCGGCTGATCATGCACACTACAAGAGGAAGTGGTCGCTGATTAATATTTCATGAGGAGCACAACACCAGTGTGATCAACTCTCACCTGCACACACACACACACACACACACACACACACACACACACACACACACACACACACACACACACACACACACACACACACACACACACACACACACAACATGTAAACATCACTTCAGGGGACATTACATTGACTTACATGCATTTCCTGGAGACTTATCCTAACCTTAACCCTAACCAACACATGTCTAACCCTAACCTATTCTTCACCCTAACATTAATGATTCCCCTCCATTTTGTCCCCATAAGTGAAGCCAGTCCCCACACGTGACTGTGCAAACAGGTGTAGGTCCCCACAAGGATAGTAATGCTAGGACACACACACACACACACACACACACACACACACACACACACACACACACACACACACACACACACACACACACACAGATACCGCTGCAAACTCATTTCACTCCACAGGCTCATTAGGGTTTGATTAACGAATAAGAAATGTTTTCTCCCAGGGCCAAATCGAGATCGTTTTCTATTCCGCTGAAGTGCTTATTGGCAGATATTGTAATAAGATAATCAAATCATTTGTGAAACACACAGATAAAAAATAAGACTGTAGATAAATAAATAAATGAATTGTTTGTTCTTTAAAATGTTAGAAAATTGTCAAAAATGTCCCAGTTTCTTAAAGTCCAAGATTATGTCTCTAAATGTCTTGTTTTGTCAGTCCAAAACACATCGCACTTTAATTTGATATAAAACAGAGAAATTGGCAGGAAATCTACATATTTAGTGTGAAATCAGCATTTTTGCATGAAAAATTGCTTAATCACTTATCAAAATGGTTATCAACGATATTTCTGTCGATTAATCAATAAGTCCTCGCTCTCATTCTTAATACACACACACACACACACACACACACACACACACACACACACACACACACACACACACACACACACACACACACACACAAGTAAAAGGAAGACAAGAGGAGAAACCTGTTTTTTTTTGTATTCCTCTGTGAGTTAAAGAACAGCTTGCAGGAGGAAGCTGAGAGTGGGCGTGAGGATGAGACCGGTAACAGGTGACTCATACACACACATATACACACACACACACACACACACACACACACACACACACACACACACACACACACAGGCACACACAGGCACACACACCTCTGTCTCCTAGTCTTTCCCTTCCTCTCCCTGAAATATAGAAAATGTGATAAGGTTTTGAAAAGCATGTTCTAGAAAGAATCCTGCCGGTTGAGATCACTTCCTGTCGTCGGCACGCTGTACTTTATAGATTGCAGAAGCGACTGGTGTGCACCCGGGCGGATCCTTCTCACATCTTTGCCAAGACAATCCCTCTCCTCAACCAAGGCCAAGAACAAGAGGCAGAGCGAGAGGAGGAAACACATCCCATCATCTCCTCGCTGAGAAACACCGGCGTTTAGTTTGAAGAGATGAGAGCTAACGGACGTGAATGTGGAAGAAATACAAAAACACAAGAGACTGCCTCTCCGTCCCGATGAAGAGCGGACAGTGATCTGTCAGAGCCAGCGAAGGTCATCCTATCCTGGGCCTGAGCGCACACACACACACACACACACACACACACACACACACACACACACCTTTCTGCACCTCCCTTCCTCACACAGACGGCCTTCTAGTAACAACTGTAACCAGAGACTCTGTGTGTGTGTGTGTGTGTGTGTGTGTGTGTGTGTGTGTGTGTGTGTGTGTGTGTGTGTGTGTGTGTGTGTGTAAATCTGGATTACGCAAGGCTGATGACATCAAACCAAACACAGGAGCAACAATGAGCTCTGAGATAAATCCCTAAAGGTCGGGTCACGTCAGTTCGCTTTCAAACCCTAAGCACTCACGCCAAATGGTGCATTCACTTGCTCCTTCGATAGTCCCAATATTAAAACTTTCTGACAACTCCCTCTTCTTTTAAACCCAGACTGAAGACCTTGTATGCATGGATTATTTTGTGGATTCACTTTCCGGCCTCTCTTATTCTTACCTGTTGCAGACGGAGCGTTATCATCTCGTCCCGGTGCCTTTGATACTTGCTCTCTCTGTAAAACCCTCCCCTATCACTCCCAGCAGATCAAACTAAGAGCGGCTCCATCCCATTAGAATTGCTAATGCTACGTTGCTAAACTTCAGCGCACGATGAAACGCTGAGAGAGAGAGAGTGTGTGTGAAATGGCCAAAGATTACATGAAATTGGCTCCAAGAAGAATCCAAGCAGTGCACTTATTTCTGAACTGGGAGAACACAGCAGAAACAGTGAGATGCAAACAAGTGAATAACATTAGGAGAGGTGGATGCATTGTCTTAGAAACTGAGAAAGTAGTTCCTGGAGATTAAAACGTATTTGGTTTGACTTCAGAACTGTGCAGCAAGATGATCAAAGTGTTTCTTTCCTACATGAAATCCGTCAATTCCGTTTAATCTAAAACCATTTGGCAATAATGACTTCCCTTTATGGCAAACAAGGCTCCTGGGATGTTTTTTTTTTTTAGACGTTTCCAGACAAAAGAAAAAGCGGATGTGTGATGTATTTAAATAGAGGACTTCACTGCCAGCTCCCCCGGTCACAGAGCAGAGGAATAAACAAATAGGTGGGTAACCCTCGACGGGACAGGAAATCGTGTTCTTTAATTATTCCCTCGGACCCGCGGGGTATTCGAAAGCAGCCCGAGCATGACTCAGCAAATTGACTGTGGTGATTGGATATTCATCAGAAGCGCAGTGATACAGACACCACGACTAAATCAAGATCCCTTATCTCTATCTGCACCTATCCATTTATCCATATATATATATCTATATATCTATCCATTTATCTATCCATTTGTCCATATATATATATATATCCATATATATATCCATCTATCCATCTATCCATCTATCCATATATATATCCATCTATCCATCTATCTATCTATCTATCTATCTATCTATCTATCTATCTATCCATCTATATACTGTAGACTCAATATGTGAAAATGTGTCTAAAGACAACAGCTGTATTAAAATAATAAATATTGTGTGTCATGTATTTAGTATGGTGCCAGAGTAATATGGTAAATACGTTAAAAAAAACACGTGTGGCTTTAAGTTTATCAGGCCGTAATTAAATGATAATAAAAAAATTAATCCAGCCTCAGGTTTTTCAAAAATAAAATGACGTCACAGAGCCTTTCATCCTCAGCTCAGCCAGTGGAAGCAAAAAGGCTCATAATCCTCAGATAAGTCTTCTAATCAACTAATGCCAGGACAGAGAGCAATCACATCAGCCCGCTAATCACACACACACACACACACACACACACACACACACACACACACACACACACACACACACACACACACACACACACACACACACACACACACACACACACACAGAAGCTGAATGCTATAGAGCAGCTGCTATAAGGTCTTGTGTTTCAAATCGCTCACCACTCGATCCCGAAGAGATATTAGCTTTGATGTATTTTAATAAGAGCTGTACCAAATATACATTTCTTTACCTTTGTGGCTTCACAAACCACCGGATAAGAAACATCTTGAACTGCATGTTTGTACCTTGGACACTGTAGAGCTCTGCCAGCAGTGAACATGTTGTTTTGAAGGATAAACATCACAAACCAAAGTGTCTTCTTGTATGATGAATATCTACCTTTTCAGGTCCAAACCGATGCGTGCATGTGACCAGTTGTAGTAGCAGTCATCACAGTATTTTCTCCACATACCCCTGACTCCACCAGATAAGAAACATCTTGAACTCCATGTCTGTACCTTGGAAGCTGTAGAGGTCTCCCACGCTGTTCTGACGCGTGATGTGCTGCCAGTAGGCGCTGCGCGGCAGAGAGATGGACTTAGTGAGCGTCTCTCTGGGGAGGATCTGAGACACAGAGAAAAAAGAGTCTCACTTTCTGTCAGGGAACATAGCTGTATCTGCATCGTAAAACTAAAGGCGTCTTCTTAAAGCCAGACTACTGCTGGAAATATATGGAATATACGGGAAGAATTATGTCAACTACAACAACGCTAATGAAGGTTAAAAATACCATGGACGGGGGAGGGGTGACATTCAGATATTCAAATGTTTCCTATTTTAAAGTTGGGCAGGATCTGAAATGCAGAGAGAAACAAACAGCGTTTCACTTTCTGTCAGGGATCAGAGCTCTGGATATGACGGACAGAAGGAGTTCATGGTGTTACTGGTTGCATGTTTCCTCTCTGAAGGGATGTTTGGTGAGATGAGGATCATGGTGATGCTGGATGTAGATTTGTATCTGCATCGTGAAACTTAATTACATTACATTACTGTACGTGTCACTTGTTAGACGCTTTTTTCCAAAGTGACTTCCATACTCAATACTGTGGACAATCCCCACAGGAGCACTTTGGGGTGAAGTGTCTCAGGGACACAACGACATGCTGACTGCAGTGGGGTTTGAACCTGTGACCCCCTGATCCCAACACCAACGCACAACCCACTGCGCCACACGCCTCCTAAATGCATCTTCTGCGTACCAATAACAACGAGGGGTTGATCATGTTAATATTTGTATTTTTTCTTGTAAATGTAAGATATCTTTCCTGCAAATCTGAACCCGCTACCCGTATTTTTGATCATTTAATATTGACCTTAAAATGGCTGTAATGATGTGTTCGTAGTACTCTGAGCATTCTGCATTTCCTCAGTTTCTCCACTCTGTAACTATGAGTGGTCAGTTTTGTGATTTATGGAGCTGAGGCTAAATGCTCCGGTTGGAAACGTTCCCAAAAGGAGGAGGGGGGG